TGTGTGAAAACAACTAAAAAATCACTTAAAATGGACCGAATGAAATAGTTTTTAAAGAATCAAACCGAACATTTTGTTTCTTCGATTTTAAATCTTTACTGGTAAAAAAAAAATCTTTTTTTGGTATTGGTAAAGTTACTAAGTACTACTTCACATTCTAGGTCTAGTTCTAGCTGTATAAAGTAAAAGGTCGATGCTCTCTATAGTGTCCCATTTATCCTCCGTAAATTTGAGGCCTCACTCTCCAAAATACACACTCTCTCCCTCTCTTCTATATCAATCAATTCCAAACAAAATGAGAAGACATTTGTCGAACTAAACAAATTAGGGTTCTTCAATTCGAAAGGCTCTCTAATTCCATTATGTTATGTTCCTAGTTGAGTCTATTGATTTTGGTAAATTGAATTCCTTTTGACACTCCGTGCAAGGTAAAAGTGGCAAAAAGGTTAAAAGAAAATAATTATCCACCCATATTATTTATTAAAAATGGGATGGATAATTGAATTTTTTAAAAATGGGTTGAATATGGATAAGAACCATATTATTCACTTAGAAAATAGTTAATCAAATGGATAACTAATGTGTTTAACTTTTATATTTATAAAGCCTCAAATTGGGATTCCTCAAGTTTGGGAGACTAGAAATTCTCCCAAGAGTGATCATATTTAAAAAGTCGTGGATAATATGAGGCTGAATAACCCATTTTTTATCCGTCTCAAATACAGATCAAGTTGGATAATTTATTCGTTGTTTTTAAATTACCCATTTTCGATCCGTTCATGCCCAACCCGACCCGACCGTTTGCCACCCTTGGTGCAAGGATTACACTACTATGATAATATTGGGACTAACCGGTCTAGAGATTAGAGAACCAAGTCCACCTAAGATTTATTCCCCTATCTCCTTTTTTGTTGTTGTTTTTAGGTGCCACTTCTTTGGCTATGGGTGGGAAAGAAAATAGGCACCACCAAAATATCGGATCATCAAAATAGACATATTGAGTGGCATGACCTGACTAAAATGGTCCTTTTATTTCCTCAAAAGAAATGTAAAAATTGCACGGGGCATCCTATTTGGTCGCCCCCATTTAACCTATATCTATTTTCTTTAAAAAATTTAATTTGTACCCATTTTTTGAACAACTTCAGCTCCTTTTCTCCTCCCCTTCTCCTTCTTCATTTTCTTTTTTCTTCTTCTACAACGATGACTTCAACATTACTCTCTTTGATTAATGAAGCTAAAGCAAATATACTGAGTACTTCCATTTGAATTATTATAACATTAAAAATCAGTTTCCTCATTGTCTGGAAACACAACTCCGTCATCCATTGCTGGAAATTTACTTGATACCGTGAATGTTTCTGCACAAAGAACTCAACAGTAAGTTTCAAATTCATTCTTTCCCATGCACATGGAGTTTGTTCTTCTTTTTCTTTTCTCTTTTGAGTTTCTTTTTTTTTTTTTGGCTATGAAACATAGCTCTTGATATATTTAAAAGATGAAAGTTAACAGAGTACGCAGAAGATGAAACTGAACGATGGATCCGATTACATAAAATCTAATAACGGTAAACTAAAGTTGGGTGAGTTACCAAAAACTAGAACATCTTGATAGTGGGATTCCCCAGTTACAAAGACAAAAACTTCAGCTCTAGAGCTGAAGTTTCCCAGTTACAACACAAAAACTTCAGCTCTAGAGCTGAAGTTTCCTAGTTACAACACAAAAACTTTAGCTCTAGAGTTGAAGTTTCTCAGTTACAACACAAAAACTTCAGCTCTAGAGCTGAAGTTTCCTAGTTACAACACAAAAACTTTAGCTCTAGAGTTGAAGTTTCTCAGTTACAACACAAAAACTTCAGATCTAGAGCTGAAGTTCAAGCCCGGCAACTAGAATGCTGAAGTTTTGCGTGATTGCCTTTGCTACTTCAACCCCGTGTGCTGAAATTTTGCGAAAAAGCGGGTACGCTTGCAATTATTTTTGCAAAGCAGACACAAGTTAAAATGTGACACAAAAAGCGGGTATAAATGCAAATGCCCCAAAGAAATTGTCCTTTGTTAAACTTAAAAAATTAGCCATGTACGAATGAAAGTTCTAAGTATTTAAGCAAAAACATGTTAATGTACTCTTAGAAAGAAAATTTTAAACAAGTAAATTAACCGACCGACAAATAATTTTGAATTGTCGGTGCTTCTATAGTATTCATGCCTAAAGACTAACCTATTGAGATTTGAGGCCCTTATGTGTAATTTGTGCTTTTTTCATTTTGTCCAATAATTTATTTTCTATTTTCCATATCTTTTTTTCTGGTTTAAAAAGGTCCACTAATAATAGGTCCTCTTTTTTAGTCATTTTCAACTTCTTTTTTTCCCACTTTTTTCTGTATAGCTTCTTAGAAAAAGAAAACAACCCATCTTCATCAAATAATAGGTCCTATTTTTTCTAATTTTAGGCCAGCCTGAAATAATCAATCTATCATTTATTATTATTTTTAATTTAATGCGATATTTTCATATCTTATTACAGCATTTATATTATTGAAAGAAATACGTAACAAACTCAAACATAATAACACATCTAAAAATTAACTCAATGCATATAAAATGGGAGGAGTTCAGTAAGACCTTCTGCCTAGCTTGTTCTGTTTTACTCTATGTTGCGCGGACTCTTTAAAATGTTACTGTATACGTATCGGATCCTGCAAAAATACACTAATTTGGAGGATTCAACACGCATCCGACGACATTTTCGGAGAGTCCAAGCAACATAAGTTTTACTGCGGCAGAAAATAATAAAAAAGAATTGACGGTAGCATATGTATGAACTTTTTTGTGTTAAAAATACAATAAAAGAAGGCAGGGAATTTTCCGTTGCATTCAAATCATAAAAAGGCAGGAAATTTCTTATGGAGGTGATTAATGTCATATTAAAAAATTTAAGTCAGCCAAGAGATAATCTAAATTGTAATTGGTGGAATGATTGCAATATTCCGTCAAGATCTAGTGTAAAAGGAGATGTTATCGGTTATTCGTCACAAATACTACTAACTAGAGACTAAACAATGGAAATATTTATAATAATAGAAGAATTTAATTTTTATATATTGATGGGGTAAAAATATACATACAATCAGATTATTTATAGATGAATCTTTATGATTATATAACTAATTTGTTATCGCAAGTTAGTGCATTAATAATAATGTAAAAATATTTATTCTATTTGTATGTAAAACTTAATTCCAATAAACCATAATGTAAAACAGAGATCAAGATTCTGTTTATACAACCAAGGCAAATTTGATCAAGAACTAACAATAACATGGGAGGTTGAATAGGACATTATTTCCAAATGAGGCCAAACTTGATCATGTGCGCCATAGTCATCTATTCTTCATATATAAGTTATTTCGCTTTTCACTCTGATCCCTTTTCTTTGGCAAAAAGTTCTTAGTTCTCATACTGTATATTCACGAGTCACAACACTTTGTTTTACTAGACTTTTGTTTGTCTTTTGAACTCGGATTTGAGGGGAAATAGGAATTGAAATGGTTTTTAGTGTTAATTTATAGCAGTATTTCAAAAAAAAAAATTGAAAAAGGTGAAAAAAAACTTATGGCCAAACGAGAGTCAATCATTGGTTGGGAGAAAAATTATTTTCTTCTTATATGTTATTGGGAAAATTCTAGCCTCATGAACTAATTTTTTAGTTTTCAATTAGGACTAAGATTTATTTTTTCATAACATGGTATCAGAATTAGACTCATTCTTATTTTTTGTTTCCTTAATATTGGGTTCTTATGTTATGTTGCCCACGCTTTAGATATCTAACTCTGTGTATTGGTCTAAATTTGACGACTTGATAACGGTAGATAAACAAGATCGAGGACGGGGTCGACCACGGCGTAATAGCGGGAAGTCGTCCTCAGAAGGACTATTGTCAAGGACGAGCAATTGGAGTAAAGAAATAATGGTAGGATAAGTTTAGAAACGGACACAAGGAATATTCTTTTGGATATTCCTTATTTTGTACTTTTTAGGGTTTCTTGAAAATATCCCTTATAAATAAGAAGAGATAGAAAACAAAAAGGGGATCTTCACTTCTTGATAAGAGTACTTTATAAAGAGTTGACCAAGAAGAATATACAAAAGTTGTCTTGTTCACTAACTATCTCATTCGAGCACACGTTGTTTAACTTTTGTTCACAAGATCCAAAGATTCCTTATCCATCTTCACTTTTTATCTTCCCACATTGCTATAAGGTGGAAGAACCATCCAAATAATATAATAATTGGGTGATCGATTCTCTTTTATTACATTTATTTTCATCATCTGCATTTATTGCATGTTCATGTTATAATATTTATTAGTAATCATTGAGTATATATCTGCTAGTTCATACTCTCAAACGATGTTCATCTCGCCAATATCCTTCAATATTTGATCTAGAGTTTATTATTTTTAACTAAGACTCGCATCATTAATTAGTTTAACAAAAAGCTTAACACGTTTTGGTCAAACAATTTGACACCGTCTGTGGGGAGGTTTGGTTAAAATTTTAGTTTCTTCTAGATCATAAAAAAGGACAGTCATCTCTTCCTTGTTTGCACGAACTAACAATGATAGGAAAAGGAGATGAAAGATAGAAAGCAATAGTGGGTGTCACTACCTACATCTTAAACACCATCAACGAGGATGATAGAGAAGACGATGAGAATGTGATGCCGAGTGCTACACCCGGGCGGAGTGATTCACCTCCCCTCATTTAAGTGTTACTGTTTCACGTGAAAGGGGAGCTTCCACATCCACAGCTGAAGAAGCACCACCAGCAGTGAAAATTATTGGAGGAGTGGCTGATAAGTACTCTAAATATACTCGACAAACCCGTTCAAAGGGCGAATAGAAATGTCGCGCCAGCAGATACCGTAGCAGCCACCAACGAGCAACCTGCTCCCCCAACAAGTAACACTCACACCGCTGTTGATGCAGGTAATATTGCGCTTATGGCCATTATAAAGAAAATGGAAGAAATTAAAAACGAGAACAAAGTACTCCGCGACCAAATGAGGGAACATCAAGAAAGGGTCGATAAGATACCGGGTGCCCCAAAACTGCTACCAAAACAGGATGTCGGCCGGTTCGTCGAACAACTATATAGCGAGGAGGCAGTCCTGTATGGCATACCCAAGACCTTCAAAATGCCACCGTATTTGAAGATATACGACGGCACCACAGACCCCGAAGATCATATCATCCACTACGTCATTGCTGTAAAAGGCAACAACCTTTCGAAGGAGCAGGTACCATCAGTGTTACTGAAGAAGTTCGGCGAGACCCTAATGGGGGGAGCCTTAACCTGGTACTCACAATTACCAGCATGTTCAATAACAATGTTCAAAGAAATGGCCGACAATTTCGTCACCGCCCACGCTGGGGCTAAGAAGGCGGAGGCTAGGGTAAATGATATATTTGTCGTTAGGCAATCACCTGGCGAAGGACTCAAGGACTTCTTCGCTCGGTTTAACAAGGTAAGAATGAGCTTACCAAATATATCAGAAGGGATGGCGGTGGCAGATTTACAAAATGGGTTGAAAAGGAATGGGTCGAGAGCGACCGGAATGTTATTAAGCAGGCTCATGAAATACCCTCCCACCACTTGGGAAGAAATTCACAACGCCTACTGCGCCGAGGTGAGAGTAGACGAGGATGACCTTAACGGTCCAACCCAACGGTTAACGTCAGTCCAAACGGAGTCGAGGAAAGACCGTCACAATGACGGTCGGAGAGATCAGTTAGGACCACGTCTCAACCGAGACTGTCATCAACCCTATGTCAGAGCGGCCATCCCACCATCTCCTCGATATGCGGAAGGGCGGTCCAGGCCGCATACAGGGACTCAACAAAACGAAAGAGGTATGTCTCCACTCTTATCTGCTCACAATTTTTGTGTTTCCCCTTTAGAAATAGTGTACGCGCTAGAGAAGCTGGGCACAAAGGTGAAGAGGCCACAAAAAATAAAGTCCGACCCAAGTACCCGAAAGTCAAACGTCCTCTATGAATTTCACCAGGAGCAGGGTCACAAAAACGAGGACTGCATAACCCTACAGCAAGAAGTAGTGAACATGCTGAACCAAGGGCACCTGAGGGAGCTGATGAGCGACCGGGGATGAGACAACTTCGGCCGCGGACGAGAACAAAACCAAGGTCCTCCAAAGCCACCTCCCCCGCCCGCACCATCCAAATGATCATCATTAGAGGCGATGAAGCAGCAATCAACCATGTGAAGTTTACCACCACACATAAACTGAAATGGTCGATCACCCACGAATGGTATGATGACCTCGAAGACAGTATCATCTTTGATAAGTCAGATACCCACGGTTTGACTTTCCCTTACTTCGATGCTCTTGTCATTACTTTACGTGTGTCGGATACTGATGTAAAAAGAATAATGGTAGACTACGGAAGCGGCGCGTCTATTATCCACCCTCGAGTTCTCATGCAAATAAAACTCGAGGACAAGATAGTACCATGCTGCATAACACTAACAGGTTTTAACAATACAGTTGAGTGAACCTCGGGGGAGATAACGCTACCCGTTCTGGCCGGGGGCGTCACCCTAGAAACGATGTTCCACGTCATGAACCAGGACACAACTTACAACGCCATCATAGGGTGACCATGGATACATACCATGAGGGCCATCCCGTCCAGCCTATATCAAATAATCAAGTTCCTTACTCCATGGGAGATATTCGGCATCCGAGGCGAACAACGCACAACCCAAGAATGTTATCGCATCTCTCAGGATTGTACATACACTCAACAGTTAAAGGGAACATACTAAGAAGCTTAGCCCCTATATGTTGTTTAGCAAATGTTCATAACCCTACCACAAAATGAACTAATTCCTTAATTTATCCTTATTCATTCATTTTAATATAAACACAATCTTCAACTATTAAAAGGTATATTTTTTAGCTAGCGTTGGGACATAGATTTAGTTGAAATTTTTAAAAAAGAGTTTTTGATGGTGAGATGAAAATTGATTTTTTGAAATTGAAATTGTGTTTGAACATGCATTTTACTTGAAAAGAAGTTGAAGTTTTGCAAGTAGAAAACTTCAAAAACTTGAAAAAATCATCTTCAAAAACTGCCCAAAAAGTGATCACATTTGTAATCAAACACTATTCCAAATTTTGTTTGCAAAAAATGTGAAAAGAACTTATGGCCAAACGAGAGTCCATCATTGGTTGAGAGAAAAATTATTGTCTTCTCATATGTTATTAGGATAATTTTAGCCTCATGCACTAAATTTTTAGCTTTCAGTTCGGTCTAAGATTTATTTTTCATAACATGATATTAGAGTTAGACTTATTTTTATTTTTTGTTTACTTAATATTGAGTTATCATGTTATGTTGTCCACGCTTTAGACGTCTAAAATAATGTACTATCTCTTGATATGGTCCTAAACAATATAATCTTCATTTTATGAACTAATTTTTTAAGAGTTAAGTAAGACGACTATAATCATATTATATATATATAT